CCTTTTATAAGTGATTGAACAAATAGCGAATAACAATTTCTATGTGGACGCGAAATAAATGCATCCAGACTTTCTCTAACAAACGTCATCTATTGCCATTGGATCATGAATATCATATGTTTTGACTGGATTTTTCATAACAGACCTGTACACATCGGCGTCTCCACTTTCTATAAACGGAGCTCCGTGATCATTTCTTTCACAATGTAAGCTATATTCACACATAACAGGCCCTGATGAAAACAGAAATTTTTTTTGGTATGACTTTGGTAGAGGATTCAAATGCTTTTACTTCCAAGTTTTTCACAGTTATAATTTTATTAACGTTTCAATTGTTAAATAAGTATATAGTTTGGATAGTTATCTCGATCAATAGTTTTCACCTACTTATAGGAATAACTGTACATTATGGAATGTATTTGCTGTTTTTAAATGAATTCTATATATTGGTCAGTGAACTGAGTTCGAATATAGCTCCATTACATTTTGGTGTGCTTCAAAATGATGTAAGGTGGATGTTGTTTCAAGTATATGACAGAATATTGATCGTACTTTCTTAAATGCGTTTCGAATGTATGAAATACGGGTGATGTGCACTTCAAAATCCCCAAATCTTTGGCGTTATTGGTTACTTTGTTGCGACGCTTAGTCTCTTAAATCGCATATATAATTTATAGTATGTGATTAGGCTTTTATTTACATAAATAATTTGAAATACAAGATTCGACTTACGAATTACTAATTTTTCGAGGCATTATATACATACCTGTGATTTATGTGATTCCGAATCATACTTCAGAAAGAATGAATAATCTTCACATGAAGCACTTACACAAATGAGAAGTTTGAGCTTAATCAAAACAGACTGGCAAATTATGCCAAACTAGCTATCACTTCACATATTCTAAGCCGCCTAATATCATCGATAAATTCGCCTTTCGAAATGAATCCTTAAAAAATAGGAAACTGTTTACAAAACACATTGCTAATGGTGCGAACTATTTATCTATTTTGAAATAATGACACTATTCAGCCTTTCTTTTTTGAGACTATACTTTTTTTATTTGAGAGAATAATAAAGAGATCTGAATGACACCAGTTAGTGTAAATTCGATAAGTTTTAAACTTTATTCAATAAAACAGGTTCACAGTAAAAAGTAGGAATGAATACTTGATCTAAAGTATTTGAATACATTTGAATACGTGAAACCAGATTCATCAATAACAAAAAGCTTTATTTCTATTAGTTAGTAAAGATGATAGTTCATAATATTTCTGTTTCAATTTTATTTTTGATTCAATAACATTAGCAAACTTCAGATCTATGACATCACGCCAAGCTACTTCACAGAATATAATGTAAATGTATTTGTCAAGCAAACATCAAAATTACATTTTAGAAAATTAGTATTCAAAGTTTCAAAGATATGGTGTTGACAACATTTGTAATGTTGTGGCATGTTATAGGCAAACTCTTTATTTGTCAAGTAATATATTATGAAAGCTAAATGTAAGAAGTGTACTCTGAAGTTAATCGGTAATCTTCGAGATGATATAAGGTTGTCTGTAGTTTTGATGAAATACATTATGAACGACATGAAAAAATATTCTTCAAATCAGGCAACATTTGGATACTATATTGTCAAACTTATTTTCTCATAACAATATCATGTCCGGCCAATTGTCTGAAAACCAAATCCATATAAAAGCGCAAGTGGCAGTCGATTAAGATCATCACTACAGGATAATAACTTTCAAATCAAAGACAAAAAGCAAGTTATTCGTCGAAAGAACAAATTGTCCAGTACTTTCGTAGTTTTAATGGAAAACCAACACGCGTATGGAAGGGGTTGACAAAATTACGGAAACAGTGTAGCTAGGACGGCAGCAACCTCAACAGTGTTTCCCTATAAAAAAAATTATTCAAGAACGATCACTTGAAAAGTTGGCTGAATCAGTAAACTTCTCTCTTGAAATAGCGTTTTGTTCATGAACATACAGTCACATGATCTTTAATAAACGTCTCCATAAGCGACTATCAAACTCAATAATACTGTTTTTAGTGCC